ATCCAATCACAATCCATGACAAGATTAAAAAATTTCAATAAAAAATTATTTTTCATTGACTTTTTAAAAAATCCAAATCTTGATCAACCATTTGTCAACTGACGAGTGGGTTCAATGAACTCTAACATTTGAATGCAAGCAAAATGAGTTATTAAAAAAAGAAATAATTTATTAAGGCTCACTGGCTCAAAAGGGAATTAGATACATTCATAAACAAACTCCTCATTGAGCTCAGGATCAAAAGAAGAAAATCAAAGAAACAACTAAACATGAAATTCCCAAAAACAAAGCTAGCTGGTGCATGGTGGCCGGGGGAAAGTTGGAGAAGAGAGCCTCCAGCAGGCAGTCTCATTTCCCACTAATTTTATCCTTAGCAGCCTGCGCTGCTCCCTGTGCTTTGTCCATCATCTGCTGCCCACTCTGCACCATCAACAATATCCAACTTAAAAACTATAGCAATAAAATTAAAAAAAAAAAAAATTGTGAAATGGTGGGGAATAAATGAAAAGAATTTTCGATGAACCTCTTGCATAGAATCCTTAGCATTTTGGGCAGTTTCTTTAGCCCTATCCATCATGCTGCTGGTCTTCTCCTAATGAAAGAAACAGACCAAAAAAAAGAGTCATTGATTATTTTTTTTCCTGCAAAAATATATAGCAACAAAAGGCAAAGGGGCCAAAGTCTCTTTTCACAACAACTTTTGCGGCCTCAACAAAAGTTATTCTATTAAAATCCATGATAATTATAGAAACAAAATGGAGAAGCAGCGGGGGAATTGGCCCATCCAAATTTGTATGTAAGAGAGATGAGAGGTAACCTCAGTCTTGCCCTTGGCTTGGCCAGCTTGATAGCTTGCATTCTCAGTGGAACTCATCTTCTTCTCGAGGGGTCTTTCTCCTTTGGATCAACACTTAGTTAAAGCTAATAGAATGTTTAAAATTTGATGATGGAGAGGATGGAATGTGTTGGGTGATTTATAGTACTCAGGGTAGAAGGGCATAATGCCACATGGAGTGTGTTACTGTGTTCTGATTAACGGTGACAAAGTTGGTCTTGAGGTTTTTCAGGCTTTTGACCAGGGAGAATGGTTTAGGGTATTCAAATTTTAATACCAAAGAACTTAAAAAAAAAAAAAAAAACTTAGTGTTGGATTTCTAGAAAGCAAATCTCGCCTTAGATCCACGTTTTCAGTTTTGGCATCAGCAAATTATTATTATTATTTAATTTACCGAATTATAGATGTACAATAGATTGTCTAAAAAAAGGAGTGGTCTTGAGTTGCGTGAATTGCCCTAAAACACCTAAACAGCCAAAAAAAAAAAAAATTAAATTTCATGTAATTTTAGTAAAACCTAAAGTAATATTAGGAAAAAAAATGATAGATGCATTTTTTAATTCAATACATTTACTAATATATGCTCATTGATTCAATCATTAAAATATAAAATTCTAAGTTTTTTCATATTTAATTCAAATAATAATAATTTTTCAATGAATGTTTTATTAAGTGTATTGAATTAGTAGTTATTTATCTTAATATCATAATAAATTATTTTTTATAATATATTTGAATTAAGGGGAATAGAGAAAGAGGTGGAGAAGGAAGTTCTTTATTTTATTTTTTCTTTTAATTTGTTTACTTATGGAAATGAGAGGAAGAGAGAGGAGCACAGGGGCATCTTTTTATTTCTCTCATTGTTTCTCAACTCAAATATACAACTCATTATTTTGAAATAGAGTTACTGTATATTTACTTATTTCTTAAAAATTAGAAAAAAAATCACTTTAAAAACAAAGTCATTTTAATAAAATATTACAAGAAAAAATAAAAAATAATCTAATTTGTATTACTAAAATAAAATATTTTAATCTTTTTAATAGAAATTTATTGAAACGCAACATAAGTTTGAAAAAAATTTTGCCCTAATTTTTAAGAAATAGGACAAATGAACATTTTTCTCTTTGAAATATGCCTTTGGTCACGGCTAATTTGCTATGTTTATTAATGTGCAGATACCTATTGATAGTACTCTAGTTATTCCATAATAATAATTATTTTTTAATTTTTTCTCTTAATTAAAGATTTAAAAATTATTTATATATTTACCTATATTACTCTCTTTTAAATTAAATGGAAGGGCCGACAATGTTTGAAAAAAAAAAAAGTGGGTCGATAAGTTCCAGAAGATATGGCGTGTCAAATTGTCAATGCACCTTAGAACATGAGACGTTTTAATTATGGCGTCCCTTGGATTTTCACATGCCATGTTCTCTTGCTTTCCGTCTCTATTTCAATTTCCTTAACATTTTTTTATGCTTTTGTATTGCAATTTTATTAGGTGAAATTCTTTTTCCTTTGTTCTTTAATTAATATCAACTTAATTTTTTATTGGTTTACCTACAAAAAGAAAACTTAATTTATTCTTCTTAAAATTTGGTAAGTTCATGTGTAAATTTAAGTGGTATATTGATAATTTTTTTAATAAAAATAATAGATTTTAAATTTAAGTGGATGATATGTAAAAACAAAAAAAAATTAATTTTTATCATGCAACTCAAAATTAAAAGAAAAAAACTAATAATAATTAATTAAAATCTAAAGCTTGTTGATATGCCAACAAATTGAGATTGTAAGTTCTTCCTATTGCCCTGTCTTGGGCAAAAGTAGAACTAAAATTGACAAGCTAGTGATGATCCCAAATCAGATTCTTCTAGCTACCTAACCATATGCATCAAAATTTCGGAAAGAATCAGCATTTTTCTTACATTATTATACCTGCCAAAATATTGACAGCAGACCTATCAAAAATGGGTAATGGTTATGACAACTATTAATTTTGTTAGTTCATTAAAATAGTCAAGATTTTATTTTAATTTGACTTTTAAATGTAATTTATAACTGATAAAGTAATTAATAGTTATTATTTAAAAGATTAAAATTAATTTATAAATAAATATTTTTATATATCATAATTAATTATTTTTAAAAATTATAAATTAATAAAATTATAGATAAAGTAAAATAAGTCACCTTAAGAAAAAGACTAATGTCGTGATCTCAGCCGGGGCCAATTCCAGCTAAGGTTGTTCTTTTTTATGTCTTGTCATCTGGGACAAACCTTTTCTAAGAAATAAAAAGTCAGCAGCACTTTAATTTAATCCCTTTTCTTCTTGAAACCTACTTTTCTATTCTGAATTAGGACGGCTGGTACTATACAATTTGAACAATCCGTACTACAATGTATGGTTTGCCATAAACGCGGTCACTCGGGCTGAAATTTCTTATTCCCGAGTCAAACCGATTTGTAATATCTTCAAGTCAA